TTTTTTTTTTTTTTTCTCCTGGCAGAGACTATTGCGTTGCTGGAGGTTTTGGTATCATATCGCTTGGAACATGCTGAAACACGCGGTCGGATTTGTCGCACACCCACGCAACTTCCACTTCGTACAACTTATCCTTAGATTTGTCGTGAACATCATGAAGGATATTGGTAAGCTTTACCACGGCTTCCTCACAGGTCAAAGTTGAAAAATCCATCTTTTCCAGTTCCGTCTTTGCCACAGTCTTACCCTTCCCCAAAGCTATACCGTAATAGCCAGCCACTGTTCCACTCGGGTCAGATACAAAAAGTTGAGGACCATCATCGGCGTATGATGCAATAATGACAGTGCAACCAAAAGGACGAAACGCGTAGTGTGTAGTGTAGACGTGCATAAATTCTCCAATTCTGGAAGCGAGCACGGAACCAAGGATCGGCACAGCAAACACTTCACGACTGTTTTCTGCTTCTGCGCGAGCCCGCGCTACAACAGCACGGCCGTCTGGAATCATTCCACATATACAGATACCAGCTTGACGATCTACAGCATGAATACGATCATTGGATCGCTCCTCCAGCATTCGGCTGGTGAGAATTTTCTCCACGGCAACCACGACACCATCCTTGCAACAGGCAGCAACAGCGGTACTGCTATTATCAACGGCTTTACAAGCATATTCCACCTGAAACACCCGACCATCGGCAGAGAAAATGTCAGTAGACTGGTCATGCCCGGACCCAGCCATTTTTTTTTTTTTGTTTTGTTTCGGTGTTTAAATGATTTTTTTTTTCTTGTGTGTGTTTTTGTATATGTGGATACTAGCAATACAACAAATTTATCTTTAGTGATCCCAACAGAAAAGAAAAAAAGAAAAAGAAAAAAAGAAAGAAAGAAAGAAAGAAAGAATCAAAGAATCAAATAAAGCAAGAATTTTGGTAGGTGCCTAGGGTAAGAACCCTACAGCTACGTAAAATTATAGGAACCCCCGGGAAGGAGAGTACACACGCCCCTCCCTTTCCAATCCTCATTTCTGCCCTCCTTGGCTTTTTGTTCTTCTTCTTCTTCTGCCATCTGCTATTGTCTTTCATTCTTCTTGTGTTTTTTTTTCTTTTTCTGGCTCACCTCCTCCACCATGCCAGACATACTACTGTGAAAGCAAGGACAAGCGAGGCACCCACCAGATGGGATGGAGCAATGGCACGCCAGCGACCATCCCCGTGCTTATTCATACCGTGACCGCCTGCCTGTGAATTGGCGCCGCGCCGGCGTTCCAAGTTAAGACGGAGTGGGTGTTCGTCCTGCTCGTCTGGATCTTTCCAGGACGCACCGGCGCGCGGTGGTGGCGGCAGACGCTCCCGCCAGCGGCCGCCGGGGGCGAAGAGATCGTTGAGTCGCTCGTGCAGATTGGCGTTGGCGTCCGGTGCGCCGGCGGTTGCGGGGGCGTGTGAGTCCGGGCAGTACGCGGCGGCGGGGCAGCAGCCGAGAATGTGAGCGGCGCAGAAACGCGTGCCGGCGTGGCGGGCGCGGATGACGTGCTGCAGTCGGTGCCGCCGCCGTGCCGCCGCCGCCTCGCCGAGAACGCCGGCCATTCCCATTCCGACGACGCCGCCCTCTCTTTCTATGCTCTCCGCCTCCCAGTTGCTCTGGTTGAACTGGCAGGCCACGTCAATCTCATCCAGCACCGCCTCCGCTATGAGGGTGTCATCTAACACTATCGTACGCACGTACGGGTTCACATGTGCTAGCGCAGCCAACGAACGGCCCGCTTCATCCTCTAAAGGTGTATTCGAGAAATCAATGAAACTCACACGGGAGGTGATGAGCGCTTCGCAAATCATCGATACCGTCTCATCACTCACATTAACCCCATTTATCGTCAAGGCCTCCAGTGATAAATTGTATTGCATCGCCACAGAAATAGAGTACATCTCTAGATCAGAAAATGATTGCGAAAAATCACCAAAAATCATAACAGATCGAATACTATTATTCAAAATCTCCCCTATAAGAATTTGTATATCATCTTCGCCTGGTCTCGTGTACTCACTGTTATGGTTTGCATAGTACGCAACCACACGCTCTAACTGCTCTAGCGTAATGCTTTCGTCCACTGTACCAGCTACGACTCTCTTGATAACCACATGAAGCTGCTTGTCATTTACATTATGTTCACCAAGCGCATCAGAGACTGTTCGCTGTGCGCCTAGCACACGTGGCTGCCGTCGATCAGACATCCGCTATACCGTCTTACCCGCACCTCTCTCTTCCAAAAAAGGAGAGAAAAAAAGAAAAGCGCGAAGCAAGTCAGGAGCTAGGGAGACATAGAAGAAGGAAAAAGATAGTGAGAATATTCACCGTCAAAGAAAAAAAAAAAAAAAAAAAAAAAAAACAAGGAGAGAACAATATCTCACCCGGCACCCCCCACCCAAAAGAAAAAAAGATGGAGAAAAGCAAAATCACTCCAATTTATGTAATCCCAGAAGGAGTGACACTGGCGCAGAGAGCATCAGTAAACACAAGAGACTGTTTTTCATCTTGAATTAACTCTATAAAATCATCATATGTGTGAAACCTCTCGGTTTCGGCAGGTTCCTGCCACAATGGATTTTCACGCAAAGAACGAAACACCGCTTCATACCAGCGAGCTGCCCATTCTACTGTTGTTGCTGCTGCTCCTGCTTCTGTCATTGTCTCCACATTTGCGGCATCTCTTATTTTATGTTTACTCAAAAATAATTCAAGAGCAGATTTATGCTTTGGTGTACTACAATGTTTCTTGCATATCGACGATGCAATTAAATGTGTACATTGTGGTACCACATCCATATCACACAGAATACATCGTCCGTTAACGAAAAAAAAGAGCAAGGGTGCGTTAAGAATAGCATCACGTACTAACTTTGGGTCCAAGCAATGATCATCCTCTATCTTATTTGAAATAGCATCACACTCAGGAGTACGGGGTGTGGTGGTTGTTAGTGCCGTAGGGTCCACCATATCCGTGCTGGTTTCGCGAACCCGTTTTTCATGCTTCTCTGCAGCAGCCGTCAAACGTAATTGCCACAACTCCAGTGATGCCACCGGATCGCGACGTGCACGCAGTAATTGCATGTTATGGCGTTTTTCCTGTTTGTGGTGCGCTAGTGTTGAGGATGATGTCGACCTCAGGATGAGATCACAAACAGCACAATAACCCTCCACAGTAAATTGATGGGCGCACTCTAGCAAGTAGTGCAGGTTTCCCACATTCTCCTTTTTCACACAATTTGAAGAATTCAACGCAGCTGCTGTGGACGCTGCTGACGTTTTGTGATGTGGGGAAGTAAAGTGTGACATGATATTTTCGGTAGGAATGTATTCAACACAGGAGCAACATATATTTCCCTTTAATAAAAGTAGTGACTCACACCACATTTCCCTTCGTGCCATCACAACCTGCATTTGACTCTCGCAAGAAGATACATTTTGCAAGTTTCGTTGATGCCTCCCAGACAACAGGTGTCTCTCCGGTTGTGTAGGAACCACACAGTCACACAAAGGACAAATAACTTCGTGAACGAGATCACACAAATGCGATGGTCTATCATGCACAACAGATTGACTCGCACGGGGTGGATGCATTTGACGTTTGGCATGATGTTTACTGCCAATATGCTGCACAGCTTGGCGAAATCCACCTCCAACAGGATGACAACAACGAACACAGTAATGATCTCGTACATCTTTTTTAAGTTCATATAAAAGTAGCGTGGCTGCCAAAACACATGCTGCAGGCGCTGTCCTACGAAAGAGCGTCCGTGCGGCCTCACTCCATTTTTGATGTTTCTCCCCACTTACGTGTTGTACTGCGTTACCTGCAATCCAAACATTACACAAAACACAGTACTCTCCCAAAACATTTAAAGAAATATCATCTAAAGAGACTGACATCTTTGCTCCTCTCTCTCTCTCTCTCTGTATATATGTATGTGTCTCGGTTCACTGCTGCAGAAAAGGAGAGTGAAAAAAAAAAGGTTATAATTTACTGTCCACATACACACACACGCACACATGCACTCTAACACAACGTGAATAAAAAAAAAAAAACATATAAAAATAGAACCACAGAGAATGATAGAAAGATACAAATCAAACGCGCACGGCGCCTGTATGCACCATTGTCGTTACTGCTGTCGCAACAGCAACAGTAGTCATTTTCACCGTTTTTTTTTTTTTGTTGTTGTTGTTTTGTTTTTTTTTTTCCACTTCTCGTTCTGCTATTGCATTTCCTCTTCCCTATATATATATATATATTATTATTCGCTTTCCAGAATATGAGATCTTTAGAATCAATCCCAACCTTGTGCGTTCCATTTCCTTTTTTTTTGTTTTTGGCTTTGCCAGCCTCTTAAGCACTCTCCAAATCGTTAAAGTCTTTCTTTCTCCTACCATTTTAGTTGCGGGTTACGACCGTCAGAAAACAAAAAAAAAAAAACAAAAAAAAACCAACAAGCACCAAGCAAAGAAAACAAGATCAACCATCAAAGAAATTTAAATGAGGTCTTGTACCCTTGATACCTGCACAACATCGTCGATAGTGGAGGGACAATATTTACTGTGTGTCGCCGAATTCTGCTCTCATCATGGACTCAATCGCCCATCCAACAGAAAAACTGACCAATCCGCTAACGATGCCGTTAAACACCATGAGTGCTGCCGAACGCCACATACTCACACCGGTGAAATATCCCTTCAGTGAGCCCAACACCACCAGCGCAACAGCGGCGAGAAGACAGGAGGCGACAAAGACGCCGTCCAGACCGCGGCCGTGGCCAAAGACGTACGCAAACAGAGGAACGGAGCCAAAGAGAAAGAAAGATACAAACATCACGGCACCTTGTTTCTTTGGGCCGTGCACATCGGTGAGGTCCACGATGAGACCAAGTTCTTCTGTCATCATGAAGTCCACAAAGCGTTTCGGATCGCGGGAAATAATGTTTACAATAGTTGTCGCATCCTCGTGAGAAAGGCCCTTCGCCTCATAAATCTGTACCATCTCATCTACCTCCATATCAAATGCATTCTCCACTTCCCACTCTTCACGGCGACGTTCAGAGAGCGCATTCTCTCGCTCAGCCTCCCCAGAGACGTACTCACCGAATCCCATAGAAAACGCATCTGCAATGACGTTAGAAAATCCAAAAATGAGGACAGTAACATAATTGCTATTGCTACCAACCGCTGCTGCAATAATAGCAAATGTAGTCATAATACCATCAAGACCTCCAAAAACCACTGACTTAATATAGTCAGATGCGGTGGAACTGTGGAACTCAGTGTGTGGAAGTTGCTTTGCGTGTTCACGTCTAGACATTTCAATATCACCTTTTTGAAAGGCCAATCTCGCATTTGAGGTACTCTTGTAGCCACTGTTGCCACTCACATTAATTGAAGTTAATTCCGACATTTATTTTAGTTTTTCTACTAATTCCTGTTGTGCTTAGTACTTTGACGTCCTTTTATTACTATTTTTATATCCGACGAATTAATCATCATAAAGAAATAGTACAGAAAAAGAAATGGATTAAAAGTTAAAGAAGAAGAAAAGAAAAAAGAATACATAGTTGAAGAAATACCTGCTTTACCGTCTCTAGGAAAGTTGTACAGAGAGTGGGGAGTAAACAAAACAATTTACAAAAGAAGAAAACGAAGACAGACTCATCGTTCTACAACAAACTGTAGTTACTGCAGCCTCATGTGTGAATACAAGAAATGCGGAACAAGAAAGAGAGAAAAGAAAACAAGGAGAGGTTGCTATATCATGCCTTGTCATTCTGAGCTATAGTCCAGCAAAAGTTCATCACCTTCCTTTAAGTCACTCATGGCGCACACAACTACACGGCGACTAGAAAGAGGTGAAGTTTCAAATACAACACGTCTACGACTACCGGATGAAACAAAGTCCGCATGAGTACAGGTGTATAATGCACAATTCGATGGTTGTTGTTGTTGTTGTTGTGATACAGCTTTACCATGTTGTCTACTCCCAACAACTCCCCCCGCTGCCTCATTTGATGACTGCAGCACAGAAGGACTACGAATAATATCCACAAGCGGTACAAAGGATGGTAACACTTCAATATCTGGTCGCTCAGTGAAGAGGTCAGCCAAGTCACCAGGTGCGGATGGAACACAATCAAGTGGTAAAAGCATACTGCGATGCATCACCGTTCGGTACGCCATGCGCAATTCATCAAGGGAGGGAACAAGTTGAGATGAGATTCGCGATGCATGACGTTTTTGATAAAACTGAAGGGCGGCATGTGTAACCCGAAGTTGGCCTTCTGTTTCTAACTTTAGTGATGAAAGGAATGACTCCTCTGCTGTGTTATTTAACCCCTCTGGAAGCATGGAAGCAATAGAAGGGAAACTCCTTACGTGAGAACTCACAAACGGTGAAGGAAGAAGTGGCATCAATGCACGTGAAAACAGAGGTGAGATATTGAAATCACGTCCTTGAAAAAGCAATCGTCTGTAGCAGGCCACGCAAGATGATAACCACAAAGATTTTGCGGTGATAATATCCATACGTCGACGACGCGTCAAAAAAGCACACATTGTACGAACAGATGGTACTGCTAAAGGTTTCATATCTCCTCTAATAGTCTGTGCATTAAGAGTAACAAGATAGGGTACAGTTAAGACTACAGCACCAGCACGCACGGATTCACCAACGTGTAGAGAGAGATGTGGCATTAGGCCTTGCATATTCCTACGGATAAATAATTTTTTACTTACCACGCCCTTTTCAGCACACCATTCCCATAAATCCGAAAAATCATCATCTGCATTAGACATACAATTTCACCCCTTTATTTAGACTCGTTCAACCCTCCACCCTTGTCTTTATATATCATAATATTGTCAGTAAACACGTAGGATACAGAGGGGGAAAAAAAAAAAATAGAAAAGAAAAACACTTATTTTTAATAAAGAATAAATAAGGAGACAAGTAGATCCCCATTTGCAATACAAAGCAAGAAAAAAAAAAAAAAAAACAGAAAAAAGAAGAACAAAAAAAGCATACCCCCACCTTTTTTGTGAAGATAAGGTCTCTGAGCTCACCACACAGTGACTCCAACAACGGTCTCTTAAACACTTCTTCTTTCTCTTCTCTTCTCAACACTAGTAGTCATTCGCCTGCTCTGTTAAAGGATCCTGTACACGTGTAATACCACCCAATTCTGGGACACGACGCCAACGGGGCTTCGGGACTACATGACAAGCGCTAGGATGTTGCCAGTAGTTTGGCCACGCATTCGCAACATTTTGATAACGTTGGGGGTTAAAATAAGCATCCGAATCGGGAGTTGCAAATGAAAGCATAGACGCTGCCGCTTCTTTACCGTATTGCTTTTCTAACCCTTCCGCTACTTTCGCATTTACCTCTCGTTGTTTTTGAATGCGATGCATCCATATTGAACGACGGCGAATGGACTCCATCACTTCACGTATATGATAACTTTCACGTCGATTTGGGACGAATTTGAAGAGACCATTAGCAAGTGCAGTTCCTGGAAATTTGTTGTCGAAAATTTTATCCCTTACATAAAAATGGCGTATAACCTCTTTATTCACTCTACGTAATTGAATCAACTCATAGGCGCAGGGATAGAACGTCAAGCGTTGAGAGGCATTCTGCGTCCCCGCCACCACTGAACGATAGGAACCATGACCAAGAGCCCCAGACATTACTACTCGCCTTGATCAAACAAAGCCTGTACCGAAAGCAAATATTTTACATGTATAGAAAGAAGAAACATATACACATATGTGAGGAAAAACGAAAAACAAAAAAAAAAAATAGAAGGAACGAGAGAGAGAGAGAGAAAGAGAAATAGAAAAAAGTAGAAAAACAAAATAAAATAAATATATAAACACAAGTGGTAAAGGAAAAGTATAAATTGTATTTGATTTTTCATTCTCCCACCGTCCTTTTTTTTTTTTTCTTTTGGAGGGGGAAATGAAAGGGAAGATTCAGGATGGCGCTACCGGAATAGACCAAACACCTCTCTCTCTCTTTCCTCTCACTCAGTATAACACTCCTTTTTTTTTTGTATTTGGTTATTCTTCGATTGGGTGTATTCGGCCCTTACGCTCCCAGTGGGGGAAAAAAAAGCAATATCTATTTTTTAACAACTTTCTTGTGCCCGCTGGTTCCTTTGTGTTGCAAGGTTCCCGACAAAGTGATGGCACTACGGCCCCTCTTAGCCCCAGCTGTTGTACTCGCTGCTGTGGGCTTTGGCGCTGGTTTGCTTATGCTGAAAAATTGATCAAGTCGACCTTGTGTTTTCTTCGTTAATGCATCACGGAGACGTTGAATTCCCTTCATGACTCGCTCTTTTTTAAACAGCTTCTCTGTTACAAGGAACTGAATAAGTCCCTCTTCATCTGGTTCGCGAAATTGAATGTCTATTTCTTCTGCCGGTGTCACCTCTGGCTCAAGAAAGAACCGGCGTGCCTCCTGAAAGTCAAAGCCCTCCGGTACTGGGTGCTTTGCCGTGTCGAGAGATTCAATAAGTGCCTCAATGCTTCCATATTTCTTTATACCCTCCCATGCCTTCTGCGGGCCAATACCGGGGATCTTCGGCACATAGTCGCAGCCAAGGAGAATACAAAGATCAATAAACTGTGGCATTGTGAGTTCTGTGTGTGCGAGAATCTCACTAAGGTGATACTCCGCAATAGGTCGTTTCTTTGCCTCACTGTAGGTCAGGTGTCGAAGCATGATGGGTGCCCCAAATGTGAGGGCATCCATATCTTCAGTACCAACAGCCCACGCCTTTTTCTTCTTTACAAGTTCCGCACATTGTGCCTCCGCCTCAGAGGGTGCTTGAACCACCGGTATTCCCATGAGTTGCAGCAACTTCTTCGCCTCCTCCATCTGCTCCTTCGAAACACGTACTGTACGTTTACCCATCTTCTCCATCAACTCATCATTTCCTTCCTCTTTGGCATTTTCGAATTGCTGCTGCGCCTCTTCCGCCTTCTGGCGTCGAGCTTGAAGCTCAGATGCCTTTAGTGTCGGAGGTTTACCATCAAAAACGTATATGGGTTTTAAACCCTCATCCACCATACGAAGTGTACGAGCAAAGAGACCATTAAGGTGTGAAGTAACTTCTCCATCTTCGTTTCGTAGTTCCACACCTTGACCATCCTGAAACCCTTTCATCGCGATAAGGAATTGATAAATTGTCATGGAAGCATCTATGGCAATACGACGACCGAAATAATTATTTAACTCGCTCTCCCTAATAGCGGAAGGCGATCGGTCATAAAGCAACTTTGAAAGTCCTAAAATCCCCATTGGTCTTTCTGTGTTGTTCTTATTTTCTTGAAATCTTCACACACACACACACACACCTCTTTCTTCTCACCCTCTATGGTATTTGTCTCCTTAGGTAATAATAAAAATAATAAGAAAAGGAAACAGAAACAGAAATACATAAAAAAAAAAATATGCAGTAGTAGTACAACATGTAAACGAAAAAAAAAATTTTTGTAAAAAGAAAAGAAGAAAAGACACAAAGCATAGTTTTTCTTCATATAAACAGAAGTTTTTGGATATCATGGATAGAGATTTACACGTTCACTCTCTAAATCCAATATCCCTCTGAGTGGGATGTGCTCCTATCGCGTCTTACGATGTGAACTGCCCAGACCAAATAAACGCCATAGCTCCCGCGAGACAAACAACGACGACAATGGATATCCACTTGAATAAAGAATTTTCATTTTTCTCAGGCTTAAATGCAACTGGTCGAACTACCGACTGCTGTTTCTCCCCCTTAAAGGTTTTTTCATCCTTTTCACCCGTGTTTTCTAGTGGAATAGGTGAGAGCTCATTAGAATCGTCTGAGAGCACTTGAAATGGTCTTACCGTCTCTCCAGCTCCATCCTCAATTAATTCCTTCAGTTCAATCCATTGAGGTTTGGAAAGAATAGATGAACCTTTTTGAGTGGGTGTAAACACCCATTGGTAATTCATCGCATAATTCCTTTCAGACTGTACACGCACCAACACACCATGTGGTTTTTGTTTCAGTCTTGGTAGAAAAGAACAAATCGCATGATAGACATCTGAACCAGATGAACTAAAAGGAGCAAAAGTGATGTATACACACACCATATCCTCATTGCTTTCTATTGATCCACCTAATTGTATCGCAAAAATATCATTAGTGAAATTCCAGAGGTCATTATTTCCAAGTATAATAGAACTATTGAAATCTATTACTGCGTAGTTGGTATCATCTTTATTTTTCAATCTAACTATAAGCGGCAACATATTCAATGGTGACCTCAAGTAGCAAGGCAATGAAACAAACAAGGGTCTTGTCTTTGGTGATGTTAGTGGTAGTGTCGTACCAGGTTTCATTAATAACTCGCATCGTGTGGAAGTTTCCCCATTGTATATCACAGCAAATAGTGAACTTCCTCGTGAATGATCCTTTAGAGAACTCCGCATATTTGCAAGCTTCTTCACATCATTGTTAGATAACAATAATCCTAAAAATACAATGCCGCAAGGTAAAATTTGTTCGAGGCACTCTACTTGTTCAGCAATCACATCAACGTCCACACAGGAAATAGAGTCAAAGACAGTATAAACACGTTGTTTGCTCCCATCATCGCCTTTGGAAGTACTGTATTGTCCCATCAAAATATGAGTATCAGACACACCATGCGGTGGCAAGAGATCTGAAGAGAGTACCACTGATACCATTCATACGATTTACACTCTCACTTTCAAGACACCTTAGAAAGAAATGATAAAGAGAAAGAGGTGGGAAAAAAAAAAAAGAATTCTTTTACCGGTTCTTCTCATACCTTTCTTTTCTCATGCAAAAATTTAAAAACAAAAATGAGATACTTATCATGAAAAGCATGAGACGCCTTATTAGTCAAAGAAAAAAGAGGGAAGACACATAATGGATCCAACTGACATACTACAAAAAATATTCTTTCTTTATCTTTCCTTCAGAAAGACCAGAGACAACTCATAATTAAGTCTGATGAAATCAATTCCACGACAAATCATCGAGTTACCTAAAAGAGTTGTGATCCATTGGTTCACAAGGGAGGAAAAAGTCTTTTGTACACATACTTCCCCTCCAAGGAAAAGTCAGTTGCACCAACCACAGCAAATGTTGGCTGTCATCCCTACATATCAGCAGAAAGGAAAAAAAAAAAAACAATGCATCATAAGAAAAAAAAAAAAAAATAGAATGATAATAATAATTTGAGGTAGCCAATGATATATATATGTCTTAGACATTGTGTGTTTTTTCTGCAACCATTACGACGGAGAAAAAAAAAAAAGTATCACCGAAAAAAAAAAAAACAATGAAAAGCGAAGAAAAAATACTAATAGAAGCTGCGAAAAACCAATAGTTAGAAAAGGGAGGAAGAGCAAAGAAAGAAAAAAAAAAAAGAAATACATCCTGCATATGTGTCAAGTGTGTACTATGAACAGATGCTAATTGTTCTGTCAAAAAAAAAAAGAAAAACGGTGCATAGACCACCACAGTTTCTCATTTGTTATTCCGGGGGGTTATTCATTCGTTTAAAGAAAAATGAAAGCGCCTTTGGCAAAATAAAAATAAAAACGAAGGTAGAGTAAAGAAAAGAAAAGGGAAAAGAAAAGAGGGTGAGGTGAAAAGGGAAACAAAATGAAAGAAAACATATTAACAGAAAAAAAAAAACCAAGGCAGACGAAAAATGGCATTTTACTTCCTATGTCCTGTTGTTATTTTGTGTTTGCTCTACATCTTGGTTCTCTCTTTTTAACATGTGTAAACTGTCAGCTGACATTCACTCGCTTAATCAATGCCAATATATCACTTGTATAGCATTTCTACAAAAACAATATACCCACACAGAGAGGAAAATATGACTTATCATTTGGTTTGGCTTGATATTAGCTCGATCAGGTATCGTTCAGCCGCTTTATTTCTTTTTTCTTGCTATTCACACGGTACCCTTCTGTTATTATTATTATTATTATTATTATTATTATTTTTTTTTTTTGTTTGCACTCTCGTTTTTTTTTTATTTCTTTGATTTGATACCGTCAAGGGGGAAAAAAATGCACATAGAAAACACAATGGATGCTGCCCAACATGAACCTCACTCCATTCACTGGAACCCCAAAAAGGGATTGGCCAAGGCAGAATATGCAAGTATTCACATACACGTATGCACAAAAAAAAAAAAAAAAAAAAAATAGAGGAGAAATTCTTATTGTAACCCTCACGTCCTTTGGGAATAAATATATTTCTTTTTTTTTTTTTTTTTCCAACAAGATGAAGATAAGCCATCAAGAAGGAAACTCCACATTGTCTGCGAGTTCAACAGGAGGTATAATGCCAACAGATACCATGCTAGACGCTGCAGAGTTGCGTGGTCGCCCGGAACGGTGACTTGATATCGGTTTGTTCACACTGTTTTCACGTCCAGTCCCATTAATCATATCCCCAACGTTCTCCTTCAATTCAATAATATTCTCATCAGGCAATGCCATGAAACTAGTTTGCGACCGACTGGGGTGGTTTGACTTTATACTACGTGATTTCTTAGATTTATTAACGACATCTACTGGTGCACTTCTCTTTGGGGGTGCTTTTTTGGAGTTTAATGGTTCAACAATGTTGTCTGGAATTTCACTACCTGCAAGATCCGGTAACTTAGCCATGTTCACCATATTATGGTAGCCACGCCCTGACTTGGTACGAGAACTGGAGGTTGCACTGATGGGCACTAGTTGTGGTAACCCCCCATTAGGGACATTCAAATCATTTGATTGTTGAGTATCTTTTCTTGATAAGAGATGATGTTCACTTAAACGCGATAGGCTTTCCTTTTTTGGTTTCAGATATTCTGCATCACCATCAGCGTCTTTAATTTCACTACTTACTTCATCTGGAATAAAAGAATACTCCAATTCGCGTGATCTCGGACAATCGTTAGTACGACGGTGTCTTTTCTTTTCATCCCCAGGTTTCCTCTTTGATTTTTCACTCGTTGTCGTTTCACTTTTTTTATTGGAATCAGATGGTACTACTGTATTTTTCTTATTATGTGGTTTGCGTTTTTCTTCCAGTGCATGTCTTCCAGAACCCCGCGTTGTACTCTTAGAAATCCCATCCGCACAATCATCCTCGACTGTCTGATCTATAACTTCTGGAAGCTCAGCAAAAGAAAGATTGCTTCGAGAAGCATTATTTCTTTCACGACGACGTCGATCGTTTTTATTTGTTTTACTCGCACTTGGGGGCGCAGGGACATATTCCTTTTCAGTCAGCCGTTCCGCAACTGTTTCAACAATATCATGTGCACTTTCATCGTCAATCACCTCTGTAAAGGTTATTGAACGATTATTGATATGCTTGCGTGATCGCCGCTTCTTCAAAGAGGCATCATTTTTCTTTGAACGAGCATTTTGTTCCGAGGTGGCATTTTTATTACGAAGGGAAATATCCTTTTCATGGATAAGGTCTCCAGCTGGTTCTTCCGGTACACACTCGACAAGTAAAGAAACACTTCGATTTTTTTGAGACCTTCTCTTTTTTTTTGATGAAGATTCTGTGTCTTTTGTTGCTATTTCCTTATCATTGTTTACAGTTTCTTTATTCCCGTCTCTCATGGATTTTGCCCTCAACACCCCTGGTGATTCATTTTTCTTTTGTGTTTCCTCTGGTATCATATATTCTGTCTCCACAATTTCGTCACCAGTTTCTTCTGGAAGCGTATCCATAACGAGTGAAATTTTACTTGTGTTTTTCTCACTACGTTTTCTGCGTGATGGTTTTTCATTTTCAGAAAAAGTAGCCTCTTTCACAGGACAAGGAATATCTTGAGAAATTAGTAGGCTTTCCCGATTCTTCTTTTTTGAGACTTTAGCAGAAGTCATAGTAGACTCTTTAGTAATAGCGGTAGCATCAGCTTTCAAAAGCATACTATCCGTCATCTTTTTCTTTTTAGAAGGTCGAGCTTGCATATGAGATTCTTTTGAATCACCTTTAACTCCATTCATATTTGCCGTCTGTAAATTCTTTTCACGCTCAACATTTACATGTGCCTTTTCTGGATTCATGGGGAGCTCTGATTTGTTCACTGTTTTTTCTTGTGTTCTCAAGATTCCTGATCCCTCAATAATTTTGTCCTTCTTCTTAACAACCACAACTTCTGGTAAAGTCATAAGAATCTCCTTGATTTTTTGATCAATACGGTCAGCAGCCTTGATTATACCTTCTTTCCCGACCTTTAACATGGTTTCTTTTACCTCAATATATGAAGCCACTTCCTTTAGGGCACTTAACTCCTTTTCAAAATTCGGATCATCCCAATTCAATTCTTCAAACTCACGAGAACTAACTTTAATACTAGGGTCTCTTAACCGCTTTACCAATTTATTTATGATAATTGCGTTTAATGCATCTTCTTGTGGTTCCGCAATTTCCACTTCAGATTCAGATTGAGATACTTCAAATTCATAATTATAACCCTTGTGTACACCTGAAACACTTGGACGCCTTATGTTACATTTTGCTGGGAGAGGAACATCTGAAATACTCATAACATTTTGGCTTTCAACGGATAAATTAACATTAATGGAACTCACTTTCCGTTTATACGGCGTTCTTGGTTGGTTACCCAGAATAATAGTAAATCCAAGAGGCTTATACTCTCCACTTCTCTCAAGTGAAGAGTCACTATACGATCCCTCTTCTTCATCATCTGTTGTTTCATACTCGCTTTGAGAGACGAGCCCAATATATCGGTTAGCAGTACAATTGACTACAGATGTAGGAAGAGCTGTCATGTTATCACTCGAAAGAGATAAATCATCATCATCGTCATCACTGAAATTATCGTTCCTTAACCCATTTCGATTAATAAAAGGATGATTTATATTATGACCTGCACGACCTCGACCTGCGACAACAGGGGATGGCAAACTTCGAGCTCGAGCGTTAGCTTTACCCAAGTTATTAACTCCAGCCTTTTGATTGACTGCTCGCATGGCAAATCCCTATCCAAAAATATCAATATTGTCAATGATAGTAACAATGACCGAATAAATTATATAACTAGGTGTATATAACTATTACTTCTTCCTTTTTTCGTTTCCAAACACCTGCCTATTAAAAAAAGAAAAAAAAACACACCACAAATAAAACAAAGGTTTATAAAGTAAGCAATTCATATATGTAAAGATATGACAAACAATCCCAAAAAATGAGAGCTTCTTTTTTTTTTTAAGCTTACAATTTAATTTGTACAGATTACATTTTTCCCTGAGAATGTTAAAAAAAAAAATAATAATAATAATAATAATAAAACGCAGAACGAGAAAAAAAAAAATTAAGATTTATAACACGGACGCGTAGCTCCTACACTCCCATACATTATCACTGGTTATGTATGGAACCCGATACGTGAGACGTATTTAGAACCAACTTTTGACATGCTGCATCACAGTGCTGGCAATTCGACTGTTTCCAGGGGATATGTATAAGGGAACTATTCCCAATCCACCGAAGAAAATGAAATAGAAAAACACGGCATATCCTCATCAACTGAAAAAATCAGGTTAAGTAACAAAAACAACCCTGTAGGCATCTTACCTAAAAGAAACAAAAAAAAAAAAATACAGAAAATCAAGGCAAGTCACATTATTCTTAAGGTCTTATTCGTCTTCAAGAAATAAGCTCATCCTTTCTTGGAAATTAGAAAAACACGAAACGTGTTTGTGTGGGGTCATGTTTAGTCGTGTAACCAACTAAACATGGATACTCTTCTTTAGCGAAATAAAGCTATTTTTAGACAAGAGAAACAGAAAGAGAAGAAAAAAAAAGAGCATTGGGTAAAAAAAGAAAAAAAAAAAGAATACGAAAACATTAATGACTACTATGAAAAAAAAGACGCACATTAAGAAAAATAAATATTCTTCATTGAAATTCCATTGACATCCTTTATGTCTATTCTTCATCACAGATACAGTCAAATTCTTCACTTCTACGTTATTCCTTAAAAGTGATAAATTCAATGGAGAAATTACAAAAATAAAATTCTTCTTCTGCATTTGCAATGCTATCCTCAAAAAAAAAAAGGAAAAACAATAAAAAAAAAATGGAGTGCCGAAAAATTCGTCCTTTTGACGATCAACCCCAGCAGATATGTCGTTTTCTGGTACTACTACAACCCTTTTCCTAGCAGACGTATGACAAAACTTATTTAGCCATTGGATTTTGAGAAATATATTCAACTGCATCTGGAACAGATTGAATTTTCTCAGCATCATGATCGGGAATATCTAAAATAAATTCCTGTTCAATGGCAAAGACAACTTCAACGACATCCAAAGAATTAAGTCCAAGATCGTTAATAAAGTGAGACTCCGGGGTAACCTTTGAAGCGTCCACTTTTTCAAAATTTTTTATAACCTCAAGCACACGAGTCAGAACATCATCCTTGTTAAGAAGATACTGTCCTGTGCGTGTTGCCTCATCTCCTCCTCCATGTCCCTCTGAATGAAAACGAGTAGAAAAGGTCAGGGGATGCGTAATGCCAGAGAATTGTTGAGCACTCGTTACAGGAAAAACGTTGCGTCTCGAAGTCAATAGACTGAGAACCCCTGCTCGAGTGGCAAGCTTACGTAGAATTTGGGCACGCTGCATCTTAACCTTACTTGAATAAGGAAAACAGAAAAAGAACTAGCAAAAGGAAATATGGTAAAACTAAGCATTTTTCAAAAAAATAGGAACTATCAATATCACTCTCTTTGTGCACTTCAGAATTCTCACAATTTGCACCGTTTCAGAATTACAAAAAAAAAAAAAAAAATGACTCACATTCCCCGAATGAGTGATGGAGAAAATCAGAAAAAAGAAAAAAAAACTCATATGTAAGAAAAAGAGTAGATTAGAAGATAAGAAGAAGGCACGATAAAAGCTCTTCACTAAGAATCTTGCTACATAATAATAAAAAAAAAAACTATAAAGTGATAAAGTAACCAAGAAATAGACCACTTTTATTCTTCTCACATTTCTACGAAATCGTTCTCTATTTTATGTACGCAAACACCATCCCACATCCCTGCTTTCCCAGAATTCCCAACGATGGAAGGGTATATATATATATATTTGGCTTTTTATTCGTTCTTTTCCCACTTGCTCCTTTTAACCGTGAAATACCCACTCATGTATCCGCAAAAATAAAACAAAAAAAAACTACCACGGCATGGTTTATCCACACTCCTTTTGATGCGCGCGTGTGATACCAATTTAAATTTTTTTGTTTTCCTGGCGGCATGCCGGCGCCAACAAAAGTCCCGCACCACAAACCAAAAACAAACGAATCATATCTGAACCCAATGGTCGCCCCACCGCCGCCCGCAAAAAAAAAAAAAACGACACAAACGAGAAACCACACCGCCACCGGCACCCCCCGCGGCGGGGCCTACCAAACTCACCCCCACCCCCTCCGGGAGGTGGGGCGGGGAGCGGCGGCCGCCCGAAGGAAAAACTCCTGGCCGGGCGGTGGCGCGGGGTCGCGGTCGGGGTCGACGGGCGGAGCCGCGCGGGAGAAGAAGAAACGAAAGTTTAAGCTTTCTGTTTGGTTGGATTGGATATATTTTTTTTTTTTTTTTCTTGTTTTTGGCTTTCTTTCCGGACCTTCGTTTTATGGCGAGGTTTTTTTTTTTTTTATTTTATTTATCCAGTGCTCCTGACAAAGCGGGTTTTGGTGCTCCCCACACCGTGGTGGTACGATACCCGTTTGGTGTGTGCTTTTCTTTTGCTGCCCGAGGTTACGGGTCCAATTTGTGTGTTTTTTTTTTTTTTTTCTTTTGTGATTGCTTTTTTTCCCAATTTCTAGTGATTAAAAGTTCTTTATTTTTCAAACAATTCATTGGAAAGCACTATTGCTCACATCATTCAAATATAAAAAAAAAAATTTTTTTTTCTTTATTTTTCTTTTTTTTTTATTTTTTTTTTTCTCTTATCGTAAAGAGCAAAATATACTTTATACGCGAGTGTCTCTGTAACTAAATAAGCCATGAGTCTTCATACAAATGTACAAACTCCTGTGAGACCTACGCTGATTTCTGATAGAAGTGGGGGTCTGGTATTTACGGCCCAAAAAACGATAGAAAGACGTACCAGTGGTCGTCGACCTTGTGAAGCTTCTCCTGATCAGGAACGTCGAATATCTCAACGAGAAAAGCAGGTTTCTTATGGTTATGCTACAGAAGGTTATCGCAATATGATTAAATTAATTAATCATGATCCTTTGTTAAAAAGTGGAGGTATTCTTCCATTATCACCTCCGGATGTTAACAAAGGGAGTAAGCGCTCTTGGGATGTTTCGTTGCGAAAATGGCGTCGAGCACTTCATATGTTTGATTCTGTATATGTTGAAGGAGAGGATGAGGGTACAAAAACATTGGACGGAATTGTGGAAGAACAACGTCTTCAGTGGGTGAGTCCAGTTTTTCCAGATTCATCAAAGAAAAAACGTGTGCGCATTTCAGCAGATAAAATACGAGAAGCACGGAACTCATGTTATGTCCCCACAAGGATACCTGTGGAAGAAAATTTAAAATTTATTCTTCGCAGCGAAGATTGTTATGAACCGGTAAGTAATGTTGTTCCTCCCTCAGCATCTTCATTAATAAAAGGTACTGATATATCTCATGTGGATGCAGGTATTAAAATTTATGTTGCACCTTCTGTACATAATAAACCGACATCTACTCCTGAGAAACTTGGTATAATTTCACAACAAGAAACCCCACAACATATCAATTATGACGTCACTACCCCAGCATCAAGAAATAATTGTTCTAATAATATGAATGTGTTCCCAGGTTCTCTTACAGGTCATAAACTACATTCTTCTGAGGATATTCCACCATGGGTCACACCATCCTTTGTACCGTTTGATCCAAGATACAGCTCTCCATTAACGTTACCACATCATCATAATTCACAACTTATTTCTACTGGTGCACCTATGCAACCACCGGCTCGACAGTGGGATAGCCTTTTTGCCCTTCCAGCTTATACACAACCAACTCAGAATGTTTCTTCGTCACCTTCGATGTTTGATAAAATGTGTACACCCACAACTGCACCTCGAAGAGTTACACTTCTTTCAAGCAGTGGAAAGGAAACGAAGTTGTGTGATGTAGAACTTTTACGGCGAAATCTTTTCGCTAATCACACAGTTTCTCCTTGTGATTCCTCTGTGAAGGGTAAAATGGAGTTTCCAGGTGCATCATCAAAATATGTTGTTATGAAGGGCACACCAAATATAGAAGAAAGGAAGAAGGATCTTTCGGTTGTAGATCCTGTTTCTCAAAACCTGTTTCCGGAGCAGTAATTTGTTTCCTGAATCATCCATAGATTGTTTTCTGTTCCTACCCTGTTTTTCTTAGAAAGTTTTTAAATATGTTTTTTTTTTGGTATTATTATCATCATTCCCTCTTGTTTTATTATTATTATTATTATTATTATTATTATTATTATTTTGGTCTTAGAGTTTAATCATAACATTATAAAGTCATATATTAATGTGATCCTTCTTGTTTATATGTGAAGATTCTTTTATTAAGTAATTCCTTTATAAGAATATATATTTATATTTATTTGTTTATTTATGTATTTGTTTATATTATGTTTTTTTTTTTTAATTTTTTTACCCCTTATCTCTTCCTAAAATATAAATAGGATATTATTAGTTGGAACTTATGGCTACTCGACTTGAAGAACTTCATAATGCACTGGTGAATGATGATCTTCCATTTTTTGAAGAATTATTAACGCCACAAAATGTTAATTTTGTTGATTCAGAGAGACGAATGACTTTGCTTATGTGGGCAGTAAGGCTTTGTAAGCATAGTATCGCTGAGTTATTGCTTCTTCATGGTGCTTCCTTGTATCCTCAAGATATGTTCTATTTTAATGTTCTTCATTATGCGGCTTGGTGTGCAGATGTAAAAATGATGGAGATACTACTATTTTCATCCCCTAATTATACTGATATAGGTATGACATCAGTTTCATTAGGTCATTCTTCTATAACAGGACTACGATTCCGACCTGGGGTTAAAACATTAGTCGATTTGCCACATTCTTACTCTGGACGTACACCTTTAATGTTTGCATCTATGAGAGGAGATGTTAGCATGGTTGAATTTCTAGTAACTAAGGCCGGTGCTGATATTTGTTTAAAAGATTCTAATGGTAATACTGCCATGGATCTTGCTGCTAATTGTGGACATAAATCAGTTGTCACTTTTTTTCTCTCCAAATGTGATGATAAAACGGACTTAATGTTTGATAGTGCTCGAAGAAGAGCTGAAGAAAATTGTGAAAAAGCAATGACAATAAAGCAGTTGGCAGAACTTAGAGAACTAAATGCTCTTTTATGCCGTGACTGGCTCCCTCAGTCTTTTGTCGGATATTCTTGAAATCAGAAAAAGAAATGGAATGAAACGAAAAGATCTGTTGATTTTGTGGATGTATTTTATGCGGTGTATCTTTTTTTTTTTCCCGTCAGTGTTTGCAAAAGGTCTGTAGCATTTCATGTTTTCCTTTCTACAATAAAATACTGAATCATTATACATCTCCGTTTAGGTGTTTTTGTTTGTTTGTGTGTGTGTGTGTGTGTGTGGGTATGATTATGATTGTGTCCTTTCTCTTTCTATCATGTTCTTCTTCTGTCTACAAGGTATATCAGGTATTTTATTGTTAAATGAGCTACCCCAAATGAATGCAAGTGAAAGTTCATTGAATGAGGTTGCGAGTGAAGGTCTAAACGCGCCAGACACCATGGCGGATTTTATTTTAAACTCAAAAATGCCTATTGTTGAAGTTGTAGTTCCTTTCAGCATAGATATTACTCCCCCTAATTGGTTATATGAGAATTATACTGATGGATCTGGGGGAACAAATGGGAATACAACGGAAACTTCTTCATCTCATGAAATCACGGCTTCTGATACATTAACAAACAAGAAGGTTTCTTCTAATAAGAAGAATTTGAAGCTGGAGACGGAAGATAGTACGACTATTCAAGAAAAGAAACTCTCTGTTATGTCTGTAGGAAAGTTAGAAAAATCAGTCGTAAGTGCACGTGAAACAAACAAAAAAGAAAAACTTGTACGTTCGTGGCTTTTAACTCCTTTGTCACAAAAGGATATGGATCATGATAGAAATGAAGAAAGTTGGATGGATACTCTTATGCATCTTGCTGAAGACAAAATTTACTTATTCGGTTTTTATGAACGTGCAGAGCGTGAGGAATCTCTTCTTGAGAAGCGATCAATACGTAGAAAACGGGGAAAAGTATTAGAAAATACTCAAGCTTCAAAGCGACGGAACACTAATGGGGATTCTCAGGTAACTTCAGATTTTGGACCCGTTTCTTTTTCTTTTGTTCGATGGTCACATGATCATGGATTGATAAATACAGAACCTGATACTGTACTACCCAATCCTCTTGAAAGTACCTCTATACTGACCCCTGATGAAAAAAATACTTTCTCACGATACGCATTGAGTAGTGGTAAATTGCGTAAGGAATGTGCTGATCCGTATCAGTTTCTTACTGCACGTATAGTAGAACTTCGTCACAATTTGGAAGAGCGAATTGCTTCTGGTTTTAAATGTGAAGAAAGAAGCAAAGGAGATGTGTAGTACCGCGTCCTGTGAAGATATATATTAAAAAAAAAAAAAACATTTCTTTTTTTTCGTTTTGGCGTTTCCTTGACATTTTTTTTTTTTTGTTTTTGTTTTTGTTTTTTACTACTTTTCTTGCAGCGTTTTCCGCAATAAATGTGAATTCTTTTTTGTGTTTGTTTTATTTTTCTGGTGTTTTTATTCGCGGATATGGGCAATAGTGGGTCTCACACTCACGAGACATATGACTACCTAATATACATTATGCAAAGTTTACAGGTTTTGTTTCATCTGATGCATCGTGATGCCTCAGTGGACTGCCGAAGGAAGGCTCTTGAGGTTTTGGATATTATACTCACAAATATCATTGAAAATCCCTCGGAAAGTAAATACAGGAGAGTCAATATAACTTCTTTGCGGTGGACAAGTTGTGTCGCACCGGCATTCAACCTGTTTAACCTCATTGAGTGGCTCGTGAAAATCGGTTTTGAACACGATACCGAAAATTCAATATTACTTTTTAAAAGTAATGATCTGGATTATATAAAAAATGTTTTGAAAGAATTGCGTATCCTTTTGCGGGTGCATACTCCTACAGTTGCTCTTACTCCAGAAAATAATGATGAGAGAAATCAAGAGGGTAGAAAGTTTTTGCCACTTCTGCGTTTTTTAGTTGGACTCACAGATGGTAGTGATTTGGAGAATGATGCTATCACGCAAGACTTGACTGATTCAAGGGTTTACCTTACTGATGAAGTGTGGGAAAATGTAAAGGACACTTTGCGCCTTACGGCATTGTATACTGAGTGTGAAAAGGAAGATGAGATGAAACATGATCCAGTGAGAATGTTCCAGCCACAATTTCCACTAAATAAGTCTATAGTCTGGGAATCACTGTTACAAATCGTTCGCAGGTTAACTTTTTCTAGGGTTGAGGAAGATCTTGCTGTGATAGATGCAGAGCGAGCTAGTATGGAAGAAATAAATGCAAAAGACATTTCTAGTGATGAGATTTACTTAAGAGACACGGCTCGAAAACGAGTTGCTGAAAGGCATAAAAGAGCTTTTTCCCATCGTGATGAGAACTCGGCAAAGATTCACGCAGAAGTACGACTTGTTGGTACACGTCTTATTGCAGACATTGCGTCATGTATAGAACAAATTGCTGCACTAGAGGGAGTGGAAGGAATAGTGCGAAAGGACCGGCTGGAGGCCCAAAAACTTCTTGAAAAGTTTAACAAGGATGGTGATATTGAGTATTTGCATTTATTAAAAGATGAATGGACAAAACAGTTAGAGTCCACAAAGGAAAAACATGGTAAACAGTTTGTTTACTTGTAGAAGTTCCCTTCATAACTCTATGTTTCTTGCAAAAAAAAAAAAAAA